GCCATCCTCATTATCATCTAATTCTGTTTTCAATATCCACATTGAAATGAATTGTCTCAAACTTTTCAATAAATCCTTCTCTAAATTATTCATTTTCTTGATCATTTTGGACACACATCTTTCCTCATTTGCTTTTTTAATTTTAACGTAAAATTGAAGCCAACACTCACTATTTTGTTTCGCGACAATTATAAAATAATTCCCTGGATTTTCAAATTTTAAACAAATTTCAATGTGAGAATACTCCATTTTAGCCTCTTGTTTATTAGCCTTTAATGAAGTTGAGTCGGTAAAATTAACTTTTCCATGTCTTTCTCTTTTTAAAATTTTTCTAGGCCCATCAGGATTCAAAAAACATATAAATCTAGTTAATTTATTAGGGTTTTCTGAATTTGTCAATAAAGATGTATATATCCCTTGTATTTCTATATCCATAATCTGATTATTATCATCGTATCTTAAATTATCAACTTTCAATTTATTTACTTCAAAACTGATCTGTGCAGAAATCAAAGGCTCTACGGTTATTAGAATCTAAAATGCAAATAAAATTTAAATAATTTTTATGTATATACTTTTACCTTCTTTACAATTTCTGTTCCATTATTTTCATTTAGAACGATCCTTATGTTAAATACTTCTAAAAAATTAAATAATAATTCAAATAACATTAATTTTTTTCCTTTATGTCCACCAACTACACTTTTATTAAGTGAATAATCTCCTATAAGTAAATTCTGAATGGGTGCATTCATAATCAAGGAAATTTTATCTTTTTCGATATTATCATCAATTTCACACAAAATTTCAATTTTACTTTTTATTTTCCCATCTTCAACTCTTTTAGTAAATTCTATTCTTAATAAAATTACTTTAGGACTACCATCCGTATTTTTATTATCTTCTGTAGGGGTAATCAAAAATCGTTGATTAATTTGTAAATTTGAAGAAGAAAGAGTAAACAAAAGGAGAAAATAAATAATTTTGTTGTTCATTAAAAATTAAAGTTTTTTTTTAAATTTTAAAAATAAATATTTACTTTTAAGCCCCATAATAAATAAATTTCCTTTTATACATGCCCTTTTCTTGACATTAAGAAATTATTTTTTCTCATTTGATAGACTGTCCTTTGATTAGATTTTTATTTTATTACCAAATTAATTTGTCTATATTGGGAAATAATGCCCTTTATCTAAGATTTTGTTTAATTTTCTCACTAAACTTTTGTCGCTCTAACAGTAAACGGCTTAATTCGTTTCTTACGATGGCATTTGTGTTGATCAGAAAGTCTCAGAACCAAAAATTTTCTTAGGCGCATAAACAAAAATTAGAATTTCCTCATCAATCGCATGTAAATTAGAACCCGGCACGGGACGGGACCTCGTACGGGATTTTACGGGATCCCGTCCCGAATCCCGGGTTTTTAGCGACAAACGGGATCCCGGGAATGTAAATACTAGAGTTCGAACTTTTCACTTTGCCGGGCCCGGTATCCGGGCTTTTTTCTTGCAATCCGACCCGGGCCGGGCTTCCGGGCTAAAAACCTCGAAAACGCGGAAACCCGGAAAAACCGGTTTTTTCAAACCCGGGCCCGGACCCGGTTTTTTCAAAATTTAAAAAATTATAAAATTTTAGCTTTTTCGCTGAAATTTTCCTTATTTTGAATAGAAAATAATTAAAATTTGGTTTCATCTTTCATCTAACGTGTTTGTTCAATGGATTTAGACATATTAATATGAAATATTGATGGATTGGCAGAATCTGGAGGGATTAATAGGGATTTACAGGATTAGATAGTCGCCGATATACATCTAACTCCTCGTTATCCCTCTCTATAACTACTTAATCTGGGATTTGATGGGGTTATTGTGGATTTGTAGAATTAAGGCGGATATCGGGGATTTACTTTGTTTGCGGGATAAATTGGGTTTAAATATTTGCAGGACTAACAAATAAGGGGCATATCCGCAATTTGGAACTTGTTTTATTTCTAATCGAAAGTAAATAAAAAAATTTCCCTTAATATATTCACCTAGATACCTATGTCGATATCCTTATTAATCCCCTGTCTCAATTCTCGATATCTCAACTAAAACCCCTAATCTATATTACCCTACAAATCCCTTAAATCTTGGTTAATCCCAATAAATCCCTTTTTAATTACTTCTAGACCACAATATCCCTCCATTAGGAGGGATATTTTTTACTCAAAACTCAAAATTGGACCCGGGCCGGGCCCGGGTTTTTCAGAGGCGACTCGGGCCGGGCTTCCGGGCTAAAAACCTCGAAAACCCGGAAACCCGGAAAAACCGGATTTTATCAAAATACCCGGTTTCCGGGCTACCGGGCCCGGAAAACCCGGTCCCGGGCCCGGCCCGGGTTCGAACTCTAGTAAATACATTAAATAATCAAATATTTGAAAGCATAGGATTTGAATATTACCAAATATTTTTGCACTTTTTGTTTACAAATTATGTAATTTTGGACTAGTTTAGGACTTCCGCCCCATGAATAAGCATCCCATGAGCTTAATTTTTATTTTGATTTAAATATTTTTAACTTATTGTAATGAAATTTTAAAGAAGAAAAAAATTTCAAAGTAAAAAAATGAAAGAAATGTTATATTAAATATCGCCTGATATTTGCTCAAAATGAAATTCTAAAGGAAGGAAAAATTACTAATATTTTTTTCACATTACTAGCATTTTTTAATCAATTACACTCTGTCAGAAAATTACATATAAACACCCCCTACTTATTTAATAAAAAATTTGTGCTTAAAATATCATTATTTTAAATATTTTTAAACAATCCATAATTTATATTCAACTTAAAATTAAAATAAAATTAAAAAGTATTTTATTCAAAGAAATTTCAAAATCACTTTATCAATAAATTTATAATTCATTTAATTATTTAATAATAAATTTAATTAAAATAATTAATTGGCATACGCCTCCATTGAAATTATAAATACCCAAAACATATTTTTAAAAAATTAATAATTTTTAATGTCCCACAATGAAATAAAAATATTAAAATATTTTAATATATATTTATTTAAAATTATCTATTTAAATTAAAATTAAATCAAATTTAATTGCGAAAATTTTTCAATATCGTTATGTAGCATAGCGACAGATAGCTGCCGAAACAATACCATATTATAAAATATAATATAAATTTTATAGATAAATTGTCAAAAGAATTTACAATAATTATTTAATTGAAATAATGTTAATAAGTAATTAAAGAATTAAAAATAAAAAAACAAAATTTGTTAAATATTATTTGATTTTTAAAATAACGCATCTAGACCCACAAAAATACTTTGATTTTGCAGTAAAAGCTAAAAGGAAAATATTTTGTTTAAGGAACAAAAAGTTTAACGGTAAAACTAGAAATAATTTTTTTAATAGAATCATAAATAACTGGAATAGCTTACCTAATGAGATTTTACAAACATATAATTCGCAAAAATTTAGAGTACTTGTTAATAACTTTATAAAATAGAGGTTTTAGTTCGCAACTCCCTTATCCTCCTAGATTGACATTTTTTTTATAAATTTATTATGACATTTTCTTATAGTATTTTGAAAATTTATTTTTAATTTTACCACTATAATTGTACTTTTTTATGTACTTTGTGGTTTACTCAATAAATTAAATTAAATTAAACTTAATCATTCCAAATAAAATAAAAATTCTTTAAGTTATTTATTAGCATTCATTCAAATGATTTGGGAATTATTATTAAACCATCGAGTAAAATTTTGTTTCGACTGGACAGTCTCATTTCGTAAGGAAGTCTTACAACGGAAAGAGGAGTAATTAGAAGTCTAAAAGAAATATAAAATTATTTAATTTCCACTTAATCATACATTTAAATCTTTTAGACTTTGCCCCTTTATTATTTATTTTATATTATTCATTTCCGTTTCCTTAAGATTTCCATTAAAACTTAGGCTTTATTTTTTCCTTACATTAATAAACTCTAGCAGCGACCTTCGATCGCTCAGAGCCTATAAATAATTGTAATCATCTCCCCTTAATCGGTTCGTTCTTTGTATTCTTTTACATTTTAATTCTTTCTTCAATCTACCCATTTTCCTTTGGAAATAAAATTGTGTTTTAAATATTGAATAAAATTTCTTTAATAAATTGGTAAGAAATTCTAAAATATTTTGAATATATTCAGAAAGGAAGTGAATATAAGTGTTGCAAATTAGAGAGTTTGCAACAATTTAAAGTAATTAAAAACAAATTAATATTAGTCTATTTTTAAATTAAACAGATAAACCTGATTATTATAAAATAAATTATAAAAAACGTTATTCCTAATGAATAATTTACAAATAAATAAATTAATAAATTAAATTATTAATAAAATAAAAAATTAATAGAAATAAAAAATCTATCGAGTTAAAATTTATTTTATCTAATCAAAGAAGGGAGTTAATTGTCTTGTGGTAATTGTCACAAATTTTAAAAAACTTGATTAATTAATAAAAGTTATACCTAAGGGTATCCTAAATTAAATTAATGGAAAATAAATAATATACGTGAAAAACAAATCAAAATTTCGCTTTTAAAAAATTAAAAGAAAAATTTTAACAGATAATTACCAAAATGTCTAAAAATTAAATACATACTATTTAATAGTTAATTAATCGGATTACTTATAAAATTGCTGCCATTTTTTAAATTATATTTAGAAAATAGAGTAATAAAATATCTTTAAATTTATATTAATTATTTATTTTTTAAATTAAGGTAATTATAAACTTACAAATATTTTCCAATCGAAATTAATTATAAAAAATAATCTTCACAAATTTTCATTATTAAACTTATCAAAAAATAATTAGAAAAAAATATTAAAAATAACTAAATACTGAAAATAATTTAATAAAAATAAATTATTTTTACAATTTGTGTAAATGTTGGAGATAATTAAAATATTATTAAAAATATTATTTAAAAATAGTTCATTAATATATTTAAAGACAGTTCATTTTGTTTCTAAGGCAAAGATTAACAAAAGCTTCTGGCATCACATTTCGGAAAGTATCACGTTCGTATACATTAGCCAAATAATTGAAGAAAAGACTGTGTTGATGTCCAAAGAAGAAACAAGTTTGAATTAACTGAACACATTCTGTAAATCTTCTAGCACCTGCAAGATCTCCATGACGATTCTGAAAAATTGGCGATGAAGTTAAATGTCACCCTGCCCTATCCAATCTCTCTTTTCTTACCCACCTGTAATATTTTCATTAATATTTTCGAATATTTCTCAGACTCATTCATCAATAATTCTTTTCCTTGTTTGCTCAGTCCATCGGTAAATGAGTGACAAAAAATTATAGCACGGAGGAGAACATATTCCTCTTCAGTAAGTTGCACTTGAGTGAATTGTTCCATACTATCAGTAAATACTTTTTTGGAAAGTTTGGCTATTCTACAAAAATTAATTATATTGAAGGAGAGGTTATTAAAGAAAATATACGTTTCATCTCCTTTATAATATTCTCCATTGAAACCGAAAGCCATTAAAAGCCCACTTGGCAGAATTACTGTATTATATTTCTTGGTGTAAGAATAATAAACCAATAACAAAATTGAAAGAGGCATAGTTATTTGAGTTAAAAGACAAATCTTAAAATTTCAGATAAATATTACAGTGTGACAAAAAAGTAACTGCACAGTTTTTATTTTGCCATAACTTTTTTTCTCATTAAAAATTTTTTTTAATTTTTATCTCGTTTTGTAGCCAATTCAATTCTCTTTCAGGGCTTTTAGACCCTGTTCCATTATTGAACCTTTTTCTAAATGTTTAAGCATTTGCAAAATTTCAACTCCCCCCAAAGTTCAAAAAAGCACTGTCGAAAAAATTTTAAAAAATTCTGGTATGAAATTTTCTGGGAAAATTTTTTCTAAAACTTATTTATTGAAGTAGGCATGAATGTCGACTTTATAAAAAGTAGAAGAATTCTATCAGTAATTACACTTGAGAACGTGAGCATGGACGATTTCCGAGTAATTGTCCATGCTCATGTTTTTCCCTATAATCACAGAAAAATTCAACTTTTTACGTAATAAATGAAAAAAGTTAGGACCCAGAGATGCAAGTGCCTCTGAGGCAAGTACCCTCTCTCAAGTGACACTTTTTTCAGCCGAAAAAATTTTTATGAACAAGAAATTTCCGAATCGTAAAAATGACTGATATTGGGCCGCTAAACCTCCTCTTTCTTGTACAATTGTTAAGGATTCACATCACCCTTAGGTCAAAATGATATGAGCTCTTATTTGAAAAACGATCAAAATCTCTTGATTTTTGTGAACCCTAGGGTCAAAATATATAAAAACTAGTATCTACGGGAAATCCTTAATGGTACTTTGGAGCCTTGGGTCAGAAGCAACTTTTGGTATAGGGACAGGATCTTTCAGCAGAATTCATCCTCTGTGCATAAGACAAAAGCAATGCATGGTTGTTGCACAGCCAATTACCCGGTATTAAACTGTCTCAGATATGGCTACCGTACTCTCTGGATTTTAATCATTGGATTTTTATTTTAGGTCATTTTTTTCTCTGGGTTCTGATATTCTGATTTATCAAAACTCTGAACATTTATTAATAAAATTTACTTGATCAGACAAATCTAAATCGTTGAAGGAAGGCATTGTTTTTCCAATGTCAACGATTAAAAGAAGATCCTCCATCAAGGAAGCAGGTGGAGTTTTAAAAAATCCATTTTTGAGAATAAATCCAATAGCCGCGGATGAAATAAAACCTCGTTCCTGACACTTTAAATGAAATTATTTACTTATTTTTATCTAATTTTAATTTTGAAAACCGAAAATTCATCACTATTTGAAATAAGATTTTCTTTTCGATTAATCAAGTTTTCGATTGAATTGCAAGAATAATTATAATATATAGAAGGCAATCTTGTAACTGAATTTCTAACGCGTTTTGCATTTTTCTCGACGGAGATAAGAACATCAATTATTAAGTTGTCCTTGTTTATGAACAATGGTCCTGGCTAAAATTAATGAATAAATTATTTAAAAGCTTATAGTTATACCCTCAATATAAAGTTGGTCCCCGACCTGTCAATTTAAAACACTTTCATGGAACGGAAATTTCAGGAGAAGGACTGTAGAGGATCGGGAAACATGCCCAATCGGTGGTCTACATCCCCCCTCCCCATAAATACCTTAGTTCCTTTAGCTAATATTTTTCGAAAATACCTTTATATAAGTTTCGCTTTTTGTTTCAACATTTTCTATATATTTTCCTTTATCTCGAAGTTCATTCCTTCTTTGTTCGAGTAATGCATATATTTCTGGTAAACTCCTTGAATAAAATCCCCTGATTGTTTGGATTCTCATTCCAGCCAGAATACACTTATCAAAACGGCAACTTTTGCATTTTATTGCAACTGAAATAAATATACCGTATTTACTCTAGTAATCCCCCAGTCTTTATTAATTCCCCAGTCTCTATTAATTCCCCACCCTGGAGATGTGTTGAAACAATAATCCCCCTCTTTCTACCCCACTCTAATAATTCCCCAGTCTCTATTAATTCCCCACCCTGGGGATGTGTTGAAACAATAATCCCCCTGGGGAATTACCAGAGTAAATACGGTATGTATTATTTTGATAGTTGTTACCCAATGAAAAATAAACAATTAAAGCTTTAAATGAGTACGGTAACTACTATACTAAATTTAATTTTTCAATTTATTTTTTTAAGTTTTACCATTCATAACATTGCAATTCCCACCATCTTTACATTTGTAAAATTCTTTTGCGTTACAGCAACGTCGGAAAAAGTGTTTACAACCTGTATTTAATTAATAAATTTAATAAAATAAAAAAATAATAATAAAATTCTGTTCGGATTACAATAAATCCTTCAGAGTAAATAAACCAAAAATTAATTATTTACTACTACATAAATACTAACCATCACAACAAACAACATTATAATAAACATATCCACTACAAATATATCCACAAACACAACATTTTGTTGGGAAGGGGGAACTTTTAGTATTTTTTGATTGAAGTGAATTGTTAACATAATTATTATTGTTGTTGTTATCTTCCTCATTAAATTTTACAAAATTCATTGAATTTGGATTATTTTTTACTATATAATAATCATTAGAAGAATTAGAAAACATTTCTCTAAAAATAGCCTTGAAATTTTTAAAAATTATATAATATAAAAATTATATAATATCGGGTTTGATGATGAATTGGGTATCTCACACGATACCTATGAATTTTATTTCTTCTCATTTTGTCTCTCAAATTACCCCAAAAAATGATTGTCAAATTTTGCCGGTATGTTGATACAATTTCTACCAAATTTTCTGCTAAAAGAACATCCCTGTTAAAGGAGGAAATACAGTAATCGTTTATATAACGGTCCCTCTGCTTATTTTCAAAAATCCCTTTGACTTGAATTGGAAATTAAGAACATTAATATTTAATTATTTAAGAACATGAAATGATTATATTTATAATTTATAAAATTATACATAAATAATTACTATTAATTCAATTCATTTATTAAATATATACATCTATTCGAATATTTAAAAAATCGAGCTAAAATGGATTTACTGTTAATATTTTATTTAAATTGTTTGAATAGCTTTTTTGAAAGAAAATAAAAATCAAAAAAATCAGTTTTAGCTTGGATATAAATGAAAATAAAATACGAAACGAATAAATATGTAAGAATAGATAAAATTAAAAAAGAGTGAGCTAATTTTGTTATTTAAATAAATACAAACAATAAAAAAATAATTTTAAATACAACACACAAAAAATAGAAACTACAGAAATTTTTAAATAATTTATCGAACAAATTAATAACGATTTTAAATTGATAATTAAATTATGAAGAAATTATTGGAATGGCAATTACGGATAGAAAATCCTCACAAAACTTTTGGATAGAAAATTAAATATTATTGGTTTGAGAATGGTCTTGGAAGCAAAAATTTAAAAATTTATGGCTAATTATTTAATTTTTCTGTTCTTCTTAAGCAAATTAAAAAAATAATTTTGGGTATATAAAAATTAATTCCATAACAATTATCGCCGTTTATTTTATAAAGTCTCGAACGCTACATCGAAATTATTGACAATCAAGTGTATCAAAAATTCTTATCTTTCCACAATTACCACAACAATTACCTAAGTAATTTGAACCAATTCTTAAAATTAAATACAACCCACAAAAAGATAGAAATATTTTCTAAATGAGAAATCAACTAAACAAATAAATTTTTGTTTTATTTTAGATTTTGAGAAGAAAATTTTTTGGAAAATTATTAGAGAAATTAATTTAATGTTTATATTAAATAAAAAAGGTTTGAGCTAAAATTGATACTTTATTTAATAAAATAAGCGAATTTGTATTTTTGGTGTGTGCTAAATTTTAGTTAAGAAACCCGAGATTCGAATAGGATTAGATTTAAACAAATTTTATGAAGAAACCCGAGATTCGAATAGGATTAGAGAAAGAGATTCGAATAGGATTAGAGAAACCCGAGATTCGAATAGGCTTAGAAATTTAAACAAATTTTATCATTTCGAAAATTCAGACTAATATTACTTTTTTATATTACCGATAATATATTTCAATATTTCGGCTTATTTTATTTAGTATAATTTATTTATCTTTGTATAAATTTTCATTGTCATCTTCATTAAATTATTATTTACATCAAAAAGAATAATTATTTTAGTATATTCAGATTTTAAACACAGTGAAATAGTTGAACAAAGCACAGAAGTACGCGCTTTCTTCATGAGTTAAAACATTAGGTATAAAATGATTACATCGAAATCTTTATTTTTTAATTTTTATACTAATTAAACATTTTTAAATACAATATTTTTTTATAATTTTCAGCAGAGGTTGTCTACATTCTTATTTTTATTAAATTAGAATTTTTCAGATAAATATTTTTTAATTATTTTAAATTAACTTATATGATCAAACATATTTTGTCTACATCTTCATTACAAACATGTAGCTATTTATATTCTACTTAACTCATTTTGCTTAAAATTAAAAATCCTCAGATTTTAAATTTTTTATTAATGACCTCAATATAATTTTTCAAAATATTTTTTAGAATTTACATTTCTATTTTGTTTTTTTATAATCAATAAATTGATGGGCAGGAAGTTTAATTATTATTTAAGTTTTTTATTATAAGCATTTATAACCTTTTAACAAAAATTAAAATAATTATACTTGTACATATAAAAATAATTTTGTTTTTTTAATAATTAACTGTTAGATCTAGCATTCTTATTAAAAAATGGATGCTATATCTGCTTCGCAACATTTCTTTATTTCTGTGGCAAATAAATTAATATTATACTATTTTTTATTTATTAAATCATTTGCTTAATTATATTATTTACAGATCTATAGATTTTATTATTTTTTGTGTATTTATTTAATTTTAATATTATTTTATTTTTAATTTAATTAATATCTTTTTGATTATAATTTCATTTGTTTCACAGTGTTTTACACGGTTGGACCATGTTTTTATTATTATTAAATAATTAATTTTTAAATTCAATCATTAAAGATTTTAACAATTCATTTTAAAATTCAATAGAAAAACTAAAAAGTCTATTGGGATATAATCTGCCCCCGAATCTCCGGTGGTTTACATTCTATTTTAAATAATATGTAAGTTTTAATAAATATTTTTATAATTTAATTTCTTTTACAAATTTATATTTATAGTAAACATTAATTAATTTAAATGATAATTAATATAAAACTTGACAAATAATAATAATTATGAATTAATACGTTATAATTTAATAAATTATTTTATTTTTATATAGCGACAAAGTTAATTGCTAAATCAGTTATATTATATTAAAATTAATTTTATTTTATATATTTATTTAATTTATAAATAATTAACTTAAAAGTACACGAGAGGACCGCCTGAGTCACCTCTTTGTAATAGACCGGAATAATATTGAAATTTAATTAATTTTTGTTATTAAAATTTAATTACATTTATAAAATCCATTTCTTCCGTAGACTTTTGATTATTTCTAATTAATAATTGTTGATCTCTAATTATTTCAATCAGTTTAAAATAAAAAAATTTATAATTTTAATTATATTTTATTTAATTAAACGAAATTAAATCACAATTTTTAGAGATTTAATTTAAAAAAAATTTTTAAAAATAATTATATCTTTGAGTATTTTTAACTATATATGTATTGAAAAATATAAGGAGTAATGCGTTCTAAGTTTCTAAGTTTCACGTTTTTAATTTAATGTTCTTTTTTAGTTTTTTTTCAAAATAATTTAATATTAAATTTTTATAGAGTTACAGATAGTCCTAGCTTTTATGTCAAATTGAATTTCGATTTGATTTAATTTTAAAATTGTTTTTAAATTGAAAGTATAAATTATTCAAAATACAATAAAAATTAATTTTCTCCTTTCTTCATTTTTCACCAATATTAAATGTTGTTGTAAATAAATTATTTAATTGATAGATATTTTTTAATTAAAGTACATAATACATACATGAAATACTTTGAATTTTCTAATGATATATTTGAAATAATAATTCAATTAAATTTAGATTATTATTTAAACAAAATACATATATTTCTCATCCCTGTGAAATATTTCCAAAATTTATTGATAATACAAATTTAAGTTTAATAAATAAAATATAAAATAATAGAATAATATTCATTTTTAAATCCAGGTTTAATTAACTAAAATTTAATTTATTTAAATTTTTAATTAAAAAATAGATTTTAAAAATATGTGTATATGTTTAAATTATTTAGTTTTAAATGCTTAAAATTTCGTCCAATGTGTCGTCTACATTGCTTGATGCAATACAAATTCATTTTATTGAAACGAATTAATTTTTTAAATTATTTTAATTATTTAAAAATGAAAAAAAATTATTTTGAATTATGAATTGTTAAATTAATTAAGGTTTTTATTCAATAATTTAAATACTTAAAAATTTATTTTATATTCCGATAATTATGTATAATATTATTATTTTTATTTCTGATAAGCCGTCCGCCGAATCTCCTGTGGTAAAGCCTTTCTAATTATCTTAATATTTCTTATATTTTCTTTTTGAATTATAAATTAAATTTTATTAAATTTAATAAATATGATTTTTTATAAAAATTTTTATTTTAAAATAAATAAAAATTAATAAATATTATAAAAATAAATTCTTAAAACTGTGCTCGATTAAGTCACAAAATTACGCAATACTTGAAATTTAATAGAATTATATTTGAAAATTTTAAAAATGTTATAATTAAGAAATATGGAGGTGGTATAAATTCTTATAAATATTATAAAGGAATATAATTACCCTTTTAAATTTTTAAATTATGGGCATTTTTTATTTAAACATTTAGCTATATTTAATTATTTTTATACCAAAATCTTTATTTTTTATATCATTAAATCTTTATTCTTTATTTTTTATATCTACTATACTTTCTTTAAGTGATTGTAAAATATATTTTTTTGGAATATTAGAATTTTTTAGATTAATTTAATTTTAATTATTTTAAATTAATTTAATGATAATAGGATCGAAAATATTTTTTGTTCCTGCATCATTGCAGAATTGTGCTTATTCATTTTCTAAATCTTTTGATTTAAATTAAACATTTCTGGACCTTTAATTTTTGTTTAATAATTAAAATATATTTCTATAAATTTAGTTTAATTTATTCAAAATATTTTTTGGGATGTAGACATTTAACTGTTTATTTTTTGTTATAAACATTTGAAGCATTCTAATTAAAAGTAAAATACGTAAATATATTTGTCCAAAAATTTAACATTTTTATAATTTAAAAGATGATATAGCATTTATGTTAAGAACAATTTTCATTTTAAGGATAACTACATATGTACATATAATGTTTATTTTATTTCAATTAACTTTTGTTGTTTTTAAATTAAAATTATTTAAAAGGATTAAATTGAAAGAATTTTACTTTATCTTGAAGATATAGTTTTACATTAACAAAATAGAATAATTAGACTAAAGTCTAAAAGAATTGATATTAAATAAAAATTTTATTTAATTATCATTATTTTCTATTTTAATTCAAAAATAAGGAATAG